ATTGGGGATTTTTTTCAATCTGTGGGCACCTTATGGGTACTCATACAAATAGGCTGCCAATTTTAGCCAGACTGGCCAACAATCTAGTTCCTACAGATGACCCTGAACACACTGACCATTGAAACAATCAATCAATCGGACAGCTTTAGAATTTACATTTTTCCTCAAGAAGGAAAACAGTGCCAGGAGAATGTTTGCACCCCATTCACACTTGAGCATAGTGTGCTTAGGTGATTTTGAGGCTTTTTTTCTACATTTATAAGAGTGAGGTGCCATAAAAGAGCTTCTTTGGAGCAGGCCGACATTTTTTGGGCCCCACAGACTTGTATTATTGAGTGTCTACAAGAAAATACCTGTTTTTTTTCCACTCTCTCAATAAAGTCAATGGGGTCAAAACCATCCCATTATACTTCAAAAGCAGTTCACGTACCTTTCTGACCTTCAGGCATTGAGCTACAGGATCCCAAATACCCAAATGTGAAAAAAAGACAATTTAAAAGCACGTGATTTATCTTTTAGAGTGTTTTGGAGCTTTGAGCTACAGAACACTCAGGGGTGAATGTGGGCTTTTAGTACCACTGTTTTCCATCACTCTAGAGCAGAACATTCTTGTTTATTTTATTTATTTCAGGTACTTATATAGCACCATCAATTTACGCAGTGCTTTACATATATATTGTACATTCACATCAGTCCCTAACCCTCGAAGGACATACAATCTAAGGTCCCTAACTTACATTCATACATACACATACTAGGGCCAATTAAGACAGGATCCAATTAACCTACCAGCATATCTTTGGAGTGTGGAAGGAAACCAAAGTAACAGGAAGAAGGGTCAGCCGCACACCCAGAGGATAGATGAATATAGTGTGTATTGTATGTTCTTTTGATTAAACATGAGATCATGTGAAACGCGTTAACAAGTCCTGTATTCATGTCCTGGTGTTTTGTGTATCCTATGGACCAATAAATACACACTATATTCATCTATCCTCCAGGTGTGCGGCTGACCCTTCTTCCTATTGCATTGTGTGTGGTGGTGAGCCAGAGCCTGCACCTGTCGTGGATTGATCTAGAGTGTTTGCCTGAGTGGTATACCCTTTGTTCCTAGGAAACCAAAGTACCCAGAAGAAACCCATGCAGGCACAGGGAGAAACATGCACAATCCAGGCAGGTGGTGCCATGGTGTGGTTGTGATTTGAATTAACGACCCTAGTACTGCCAGGCGGAAGTGCTAACCATGTTTATGAAGCCATCAATCATGACATACACAGACTATAAATTAAGTTTTAAATTGACTTAGCAGCATGATAGTTGCAGGGTGCTGGCACATACCATTATTATTATACAGTATTTATATAGCGCTAAAATGTTTGCTCAGCGCTGTACATTATAGTGGGGGACAGAACACGAGACAATACAGTAACAATACAAAACACGAGGGGTTCGAGGGCCCTGCTCTTTCGAGCTTACAATCTCAACTTCTAAATTCTTCACGAGCCCCAAACTCGGGTGTTCTCAGCATTTTGCCTATCTACTTCGCATCCAAGCCCAAGCTCAGACATGCCTGATAGCTATGGCCACACCTCACGTCACCTGAACCCCAAATTAAAGATCTGCAAGTTAACAGGTTCACTTTATATGCAAAACTGCCAACAGCCAGCCTCTGCATAAAAACATGCACTTAAAAGAATCACGGAGGCCGCCATTGTTGGTCTATCCATCCTAAATGCCAGCTGCCTGACTACTGCTTTAAAGTTTCAATTAAAAATCTATAACCATTTTCCCCCCATGAATGACTTGCTTTTTAAAGAGGAACTTCATCCCTATCCATAAATTTTACTTTTCATAGTCCACGCACCTTGCCTAAAATACTAACAAGCCCACCCAACCTGCTTTGTGCTTTTCTCACATTCTGTATGTCCCGCACCACCATCTTGAATCAGGACCTGGCTGTCTCTACCTCGACTGTACAACTGGCCCCCTTATGATGCTCATTTGATCATTTGCAAGTACAGAAAGAAAAAAAAATTAGCTGCACAGTCTCCTGGGATGTGTGATGCATATAACCCAGGAGGCTGTAGAAAGCTGTTAACTGGAAGTGTGCAGCCATTAATAAAAAACACAAAAACAAAAGATTTGCTAAACTAGAAAAAAAAAAAAATGAAGTGGATGTTAGGAACACAGCAATTTTAAATATTACCTGGTTGTCAATCGATTTACTTTCTTGGAGAAAAATATGACCAAAAGATCGATCGATGCATCATACACCTAAGGTTGGCCATACACTATACAATTTTCTGTCCAATTTCCTTTAGATTTAACTTCAACTTTGCAGTGCAAAGGCCTGCATAATTGGATACAATTGAAAGTGTTGTTAAGGTTTTGACCTCATATTATATGGTTTTTGGTAAATCTAAAGCAAATTTCTCAAGACAAAATTGTATAATGTATGGCCAGCCTAACAATCATATTGATCTATCTACTTTCCTATGGTTTCCCTACAGCCTGATCACAATAATTTCAATGAAATTCTTTGGTTTTGCTCAAAAACAATTGATGATGCAGTATATGTCTGTTCTATAATTCATAAGAGTCGATTAGACTACCCAATCCTGATAAGAGTCATTCCATCAGCTGTTATGTGCAGGTCACCACAAATGTTAAAATCTGCTCATACAATCTAGGTACAATAACTTTAGATCTACCAAAACAATGTAAATAGGCCTTTGCAATACATATGTGTTAGCAGATCTAAAGGGGATTGTAACATGTGTGATCAACTTAAATCTTTTGTACTGGACAAAAGCAAATTCTGCATGAGGCAAATTACTTTAATTTTATACATCTTTGTGGATAAACATCTGAAATGTGATTATACATTACAAACACATAGGGCTTTATTTACTAAAGTTGGAGAGTGCAAAATCAGGCTCGTTTCTACATAGAAACCCAATCAGCTTCCAGATTGTATTTCCAGAGCTTAATTGAACAAGCTGATTGGATTCTATGCAGAAGTGAGCCTGATTTTGCATTCTTCAGCTTTGGTAAATAAACCCCATAATGTCATGAATACAGAAAAAAACAGCTAAAAAGACCCACTACAATCAGTTTGTTTCTAGTCTTTATACATTCAAATTTTTATATGCAAAGATAGCTCTTGCCTAATACATATATATATATATATATATATATATATAAAAAAAACAAAACCACACAAGCTAAAAATACTTTGTTTTTATTGATTCACTTTAAAATGCTTACAAAATAATAAAAAAAATAAAAGCTGTAACTAAAAACCTAGCTACATTAAAAATAAAAAATAATTATAAAAGAAAACATTTATTCATCACGAGTGTGTGTTTCATGTGAAAAATGAGAAGAGGTGACAGATATTTCCATCAGCAGTTCAAAGAGTTGGGTCAACAATAGGGAACATCTCACTGCTCTTCAAGCACACGTGCCAGCAGCTTTGCGCCAAATTGTTACTCTTCTTACAACAACAGAAGAATAAAACTACTCCCATTCAAAAAAAAAAAAAAAAAAAAGTCCTAGACAGAAAAAAAAGTGAGACCTAATTCCTGTAGGTTTAGCTTTATCACCATTTTTTCACAATATGTCCAGTGACACTATATATCTCAATTAGCTTTGGTCTTTGTGTTCTGTTAGGTTTCTACAAAGGGAGGGGGGATTTAGTAAAACTGGAGCAGCTGTACATAGTAACCAATCAGCTTCAAGCTTTAGACTGCTCAGCTAAGCTTTGAAAATGAATGCTAGAAGCTAATTGGTTGCCATGCACAGCCACTCTAGTCTTCATAAATTCCCCCTCAAAGTATTTTTCTGGTGAGAAATCACAACACAGGTCTAGTGTGCTCATCTAACGGTGGCCATACACACAGCCATCTGATCAATTTCTTCACAGAATCAGATAATGTGACTGGATCGATGAATTATGAAAATGGCACAACCTGTGTCATTGATGGATTCCAAGCAAAGCCAATCAATTTATCCAAAATGTTTCTCGTTGGTCTGAATGGAACATTTGATTACAGGAAAGTCGATAGTGTGGTGCATTGAATTATTGTTTTGATCATACAGTAAATCTATTAAAATAAGTGGTCTATAAAACATTTCCAGGCATGGTACCAATTTGGTGGCCATATTCACATTGATTTCATATCTGATTGTATTCTGGTCTGATCGGAAATGTGATCAGGTTGAGGCATATACTGATCATATTGCATTATCTACGATCTGATTTTCCATCCAGAATGATCAAAAATAGTTTCAATTAAATATAATCAACTTTGCTAGCAATTGCTGAATGATACAAGGCACTACCCTTAATAATTCATGGATTCTGCAAAAAAAATTTTTTTGACCAGATCGTTTGGTAGATGGCCACCATACGTGATATTTCTAGCCCACCTTATGGCCATCTACAAGGACTGATCTGCCGATCAGGAAGAGCACTCCTAACACGGCATATGGAGTCCTGTAGTCCCACCTTGCACACAGCCTACTGGACATTTATGATCGATCTGCCATGTAAAGTTCTCAGAAGATGGCCAAGTTCTTGTTGTGGTCTGAGGAATGGCACTGGCTGAGAAGTTTACAGGAATGCGGGAAGGATGGCAGGGCCGGGACCAGCAGAGGCCCTCTAGTCCCCACCATGACACCAGCCTAGGCAGCTCCAGGATCTAGGACGTCACACTTCTCCACTCTTTCCGTGAGTCGTCATTTAACATGGCCAATGATGGTGGGGGGGGGGGGGGGAGAAATATGGATGAGGATCGCGGACCCCACCCCCTCCATCCATCCAGCAGCCGAGGGCGATGAGACATAGGGACGATCGGGGAAGGAGAGGAGCAGCAAGGTGGGCACCACCTGCAGACAAAGGGGGGAGAGCGCACCGCAACACACGCACACACCGGGGAGGAGGGAGAGAGAAGTCAGATCGGCGCCGCACGGACACGTATTCAGCACGATCGGCTCACCTTTCTCTTAGGCATGGTGATTTCGGGGTGACGGCCTCGCCCTGGAACTGCTGTGGAAGAAGAAGAAGAATCTGCCGATCGCTAGAGCTCGGGAGGAAGCGCAGTGACTGGAGCCTAACAGCCGCTTTCCGCACAACTACTCTCCCTCCTCTCCACCTCCAATCCTGGCTCGCTCAGCGCTACGACGCTCTGATTGGACGAAGCTAGTTTACAAATTCCGCAAACCGCGCCCACTCCAAACGCAGACCACCTACAGCCTCGACTGAGATGGGCGTGGCGTGCACAAATATGACAGTGATGATTTACTACAGACACGCCTCTGCCCGTTTCTCCGCCCAGCTCTGCCTTTAGGACCAATAGGAAGGAGGGAGGGGGCTCGGCTTCTTTGGTTCAAACGGGAGACAGTGGGCGTTGTCCCGGTGACGCCAGCTGCTAGCCGCGGCGGTTGATTTTCTATCTAGCCGTTGGTTTGTGGCGCTAACTCCGCCCCTCGGTGCCGTTGGCTGTTTATTTTTGAAATGTGTGGAGAGCGCTGGATGGTGCTCGGGTGTCATGAGGCGCCATTTTACGACAACAAAGAGGAAGCCGGGAGAGATAGGATTGTGAGCAGCTCGCTCAGAATAGAGGGGCTTGGGCTGTGCTGCTCAAGGTCAGCGGATTTATTGTTAGAGTCACGCTGGGTAATGCTTAATAAGGAAGAATTCTAGTGTAGTGTGTATGACCTGTATGCCATATGGCTGCTTTACACGGCTTCTGACTGAAAAAATGTATCCAGCCTCTGCTTACGTGTGTCCAATGTTCCTTCATGGTGAGGGGCTGACAGGGTTAGTCATGAATATATTTGGAGTTTAGGAGGGAAACTGGATAAGGAGAGGCTACTGGGAGCTAACTTGGCCCTGAATGGCATCCCCATTATACAAAGCTCTTTGTTGGGGTAATGCTTTTATTAGGATTTATGTAGCGCCAGGTTTGTGCAGTGCTTTAGGGCTCATGTACACTGCAGCTGATAAACTCACGTTTAGGAGATTTTCTGTGTTTTTTTTCCAGCAGCCCCTGAACTCTCCCTAATGTTTTCCTATGTGTCCATGTACACTATGTTATTTACAGGCAGTTGAGTTTACAGTCGTTTCTTTGAATGCAGAAAATTTGCGTGCAGGAGTAGATTTTATCAGCGTTTCAAATACAAAATGCGGCTAACTGCGTTTGAAATTTTTTTAATTCTTCAATTTCCAGATGCTGTCCAGCGCTTTTTTTTCACCATGAAAAATGCATGCAAAGCATTTTCCTGGTACTCAAATGGAGCTGGTACATCATGCTTTGAGGTTTTGCATGAAAACAAATGTTAGACACTGCTGCAATAATTTCTGCACAGAAATAAGCTGAACCACATCCAAAGCACCACAAAAAAAAGACAGCTAATCTCAACAAATACTGCTCTCTGCTTCTGCTTTCTCTATTTCTCTCAAAATGTCTGAAATAGTTAATTTTTTACTTTTTTTTTTCAGCTTTTTCTGGGTGTCTTGGAAGGTCTCCTGAGGTTATCTTAAAAAAAACACTAATAAACGTAAACGTGGTATGCAAGCGTGGCTAAAAAGATATTTTTTTAATCTACCTTTTTCCAGCTGTTCAGAAGTGTCCCATGTACATGGGGCCTTACAGTGTGAGGGCAAACAATACAGTTACAATACAATTAAAATATGGGCAGCACAGTGGCTAAATGGTTAGCACTGCCGCCTAGAGTACTAGGATCGCTGGTACGAATCCCAACCATGGCACCACCTGCCTGGAGGTTGCATGTTCTCCCTGTGCCTGCATGGTTTTCCCCACCGGTACTCCGGTTTATTCCTACACTCCAAAGACATGCTGGTAGGTTAATTGGATCCTGTCTAAATTGGCCCTAGTATGTGTATGTATGAATGTGAGTTAGGGACCTTAGATTGTATGCTCATTGAGGGTTAGGGACTGATGTAAATGTACAATATATATGTAAAGTGCTGTGTAAATTGACGGCGCTATATAAGTACCTGAAATAAATAATACAGGAGTGTCACAATATAGGTGCTCTGCCAGCCCCAATTATTAATATCTTCCTTAATCCCATACTTAATTCCTTGTGCCTAAATAAAGTACATCCTTAATTCCTTATGTTCTTGTGCCAAATGTTCCCAACTTCAATCAATGCATTTCCCCCCTGTCATGCTGCCAAATGTTCCCAAACTCAATGCATCTCCTCCACTGTCATCCTGCTTTATGTTCCCAAATTCAGTTTAAAAATGGTTGCAAGAACCACAATCGGGTTCAGGGTTGGATGTCTGCTGATGCTCCTAATTTTAAGAAATCGATTGCTTGTGCATGCCGGAAAATGATCACACTGACAACTGTCCAGTTTAACCACTTCCCCCCATCTCTGTTTATTGCAGGGCGGTGCTTAACCTTTTATACACAGAGAACAATAGAGTATACATCATTATTATGTAAATCTGGTCATAGTCTAAAAGGCACATCTTGATTGGCTGAAATATAGAAAGAAGGCAGGAACTTGAGGCTTGGTTGCAGCTCTTGTCTCTTTACTCCCTCACATATTCAAGGCCTAGGTACAAGATCCTCACAGCTCGACGGGAGGGGTTGAGAACGTTGCTGAACAGACATTTTCTGAGTTAAGAACTATAAAGCCCAGCACACAAAAGATATACGCACAACACATATATTTTAAAATATGAAAAAGTATAAAAGTAGACATGTATAAAATGCATATATTCAACAGGAAACCAAATGGGTATTTTACCATATCCATCACAGTCCCCCCTTAAAATGACTATTTTACTCTGTCCCTATAAGACCTAGATCATCTGTCCTTATGTACCTTGGAACTCTTTTACGCTGTACGTTAGACAGGTGATGACTATTTCATCACCCCCCTTGCCACAGACTACATAAGTCAGATGCTATCACTACAAAATTTTGAAATTGCTGTTGGCGGGGAGGGACTGTAGAGGGGTGAAGGGTTTATCCTCTTCCATCGTAAGGGGGTCCTCCTCTTCTTGATGGAGAAATGTAGGTGTGCTGTTGTCTACAGCCTTACTTATTAACTTCTTTACAAATGGTAAAATACAGCATACAATCAGAACTAAAAGAACTAGAGTTATTAATACTGTTACACCTATTTGGGTGAGCACTTTTTGCCACCCACGCATCCAACTAAAATATTGATCCCATGGGTCTGTGATACCTGAGTTCTTCTTCAGCTCCACTGACAGATCTTCAAATTTCTTTATAGCCAGAGTAACCTTACCATTTGGGCCGCTATTGTCAGGAATGTAGGTGCAACAGGTTCCCGTTCTTTTTATCATTTTACAGACACCTCCTTTCTCAGCTAACACCATGTCTAAGGCCACCTGGTTCTGGAATGCCATATAGGTGGTGGGGACGAATTGGTCAGCAATTCCCTGGAGGGCATCCCTGGTGTAATTCACTAACCTCTGTTGGTTATAGTATATGTAATTAATCCAATCCTCATTCTTGTTAACAGTTGTTATGGGGATTAAAGACTCAAAACCAGCTTTTACCTGGTCCCTGGCTTTGAAATCATTAGGCACCCCCCTTGGGACTCCAAAGGCATCTATATGCACATGTGGGTCAAAACTACCAGAAGGAGCTTTTATCAAACTTCTTAGGAAAAGGATATACAACACAATCATCGTGGTGCAGGCAGGGTCTTGTCTTCAGGAGATACGGCTTTCTTGCAGTGGGAGGCGTGTATCCAGGTGTTCTTCCCCTTCCAGCTTTACAGAAGTGGCTGTGGTCAACAGGACTTGAAATGGTCCTTCGAATCGGGGATCAAGTGAATTTTTCCTCGTGAATTTCTTCACCAACACCCAGTCTCCTGGCTGAAGACTGTGGGTTCCCAAGTCCGTCTCTGAATCTGGAATGAGAATGGATATTGGCTAATTCTCTAGACAGATGTGTGACATAGCTAGTTAACACATCAGATTGTAACTGCAACTGCTGTGGGAAGTAACAGCCAAGTCTGGGGGCTGAACCAAACAAAATTTCATAAGGGGACAGGGCATGTTTCCCCCGGGGTGGGTGTCTGACACTGAACAAGGCAATGGGCAAACTGTCTGGCCAACTAATGTTAGTCTCTTGGGCCATCTTTAACATCCTGTTTTTTAAAGTCCCATTCATCCTTTCTACTTTCCCACTGCTTTGAGGGTGGTATGGGGTGTGTAGGGCCAACTGAACCCCCAATGCTGTCCAAATCTCTTTTGTAAGGGTTGCTGTAAAGGCTGGACCCTGATCACTCTCTATCACCTCTGGGACCCCAAATCTACAGACTACCTCACTCAGCAATTTCTTAGCCGTGGTCTTGGCTGTCATGTTTGTAACAGCATAGGCTTCCGGCCAACCAGAGAACATGTCCACCACCACTATGGCATATTCGTATCGGCCACTTTTTGGCATCTGTATATGATCAATCTGTACCCTCTGGAATGGATAGAGGGGTTTTTCCAGATGTTTCTGCGGTGTCTTTTCTGTCCTCCCAGGTTGCATTTTGCACATACTACACATGAGGTGCAGTAATTTCTGGTTAAGGTGGTTATCCCTGGAGCCCAGGGTCCCTTGTCCTGCCTCGGCTCTTTGAAGCCCAGCCTCATTGCCGAGCAAGGATGCATGCCGCCCCCGGCCTGCCCCTGGTTGCCAGGGTGACCGGAAAGCGTCCCACACCGGTTTAAGAGGCCGGTGCTGGGCTCTTCCTGATCATCCTCTGCTGCACAGCCATCGAGGGAGCCCAGCTGTGGCGGGACCCTCGTGGCTAAACTCTGCCTGAGACCCCAGCCAAGGGGGAGACCGAATGCCAGCCCTGCCTGAGACCCCAGCCAAGGGGGAGACCGAATGCCAGCCCTGCCTGAGACCCCAGCCAAGGGGGAGACCGAATGCCAGCCCTGCCTGAGACCCCAGCCAAGGGGGAGACCGAACGCCAGCCCTGCCTGAGACCCCAGCCAGAGGGGAAACCGCACGCCAGCCCTGCCTGAGACCCCAGCCAGAGGGGAGACCGCACGCCAGCCCTGCCTGAGACCCCAGCCAGAGAGGAGACCGCACGCCAGCCCTGCCTGAGACCCCAGCCAGAGGGGAGACCGCACGCCAGCCCTGCCTGAGACCCCAGCCAGAGGGGAGACCGCACGCCAGCCCTGCCTGAGACCCCAGCC